TTTAAATGCTTACTAACAGAACTACAAAACATTTTAATTTGTCCTAACACACTGGTAAATTGTATTATTCTCCATCTTATTTGTACTGAAAGATTCAATTTTACTCCATTTCATTTGCATGCAATCATAATATTCAAAATAGAAAATGCATGGTGTAGGCAATGGTGCATAATAGATATCACCTCCTCTCCTCTCAGAAAGCATTTGCAACTATATCTTTTGTGTTATTATTTGTTGCACGTTCCAGTTATACAATGAAAGTACTTTTTGAGTTTTGTTTTTGGTATGTTGGTTTTTTTTTTAAAAGCTTCCTAAGGCACAAGAAGAGTGCTCTCTTAAGTTTCCTCCTTGGGCTGCATAATTCTGTAACCAGTTCTATGAAACACCCTCACTTAGTGGGTCAACATCACAGGCAGCCTGGCCAACTTCACCTGCTGGCCAGGGCTCCTTTTTCTGCTCATATATCGGCCTACAGAGCACCTGCAGCAGTAACAGTGCACACATAATTTCTTTTCTGGTACCAAATCTTACTGAGATACTCTGCCCAAAGCTTTTCCACTGGTCAATATCACATTAAGCCAAATAGCTAAATCTTCTCTTCCTCAATGGGAAAGCAAAAAACAGACTGGGTACCCTCAAAGTCACTCTTTTTCCTTTCTTTTTGCCTTCAATACCACCAAATTTATTGTGCTGCTTCTGGAAAACCCCCACGATCTTACAGGTATAAACTCACTAGTTTCTTCCAGCAACCCAATGTAACGGCAGTGAGATTTCCCCTGTTGTCCAGTGCTTGACAACAAAGTCGCATATCTCGCTTGGAAGACTGCTGGTGAGGGAGAAAGGACAAGGAAAATGATAGAGAACAGGAAAATTAAATGCTTCTCCCAATCCCACAGCACTTCAAGAAGCCTACTGCTTCAAGTACATTACTCCCAGGTACACCAAGTGCAGCAAGATACACGCCTGCATGCTCTGAGCAAGGACACTCTCAGAAATTTCCCCACCTCCAACCTATCTTATTTTATTCCCCAGAATCCAGTTGCTAACATTTGGAATCCCAGCACCTCTGTTAAGTACTTGTATAACTGTCATTCTCCAGCTAAAAACTGGAGAAAAAAAAATCTTTTCCCTTAGCACTGCATAGATCATCCACAGGAAACACATAGACAGTAGGGAACCATCTGCATGTCCCAGGGGTATTTCTTCATTCCAAACACTCACATGAATGACATTTCACTGCTATAAAGTAAAAAAACCCAAGAGCAGAAACAAGGGAGGTATGGTGGAAGATACATGCCAGAACACCCAAGTGGAGGGTGGGAAGTTTAGGCAGAGGAGGTATGAAAACGAGCTCTTGGCCCATGTTACACCTTTCAAGGGCATGTCTTGCCTCTGTTTATGTCAGGTACATCTACAGGGAACACACAGCCCACGTCCTCTGCCACCATGTTGTCTTGCAGCTTATCAACAAAGCAGCCCCAACCCACACCAGCATACTTTACTGCCTTCATGTAACGCTTTAACTGCCTCCTGTCTTCATGTAGACTCATATTGGAGGGTAATATTTATGGACACTTTGAACATCAGCAATGCCAACAGTGCTTGTAACATGTGAAGCCAGTGTAAGCAATGTAGCTGTTTTTAAACAACCACTCGACTTCTGATCATTAGAACTGCCATTAGAAGCGGCACCTTCCACACCTGCTGATGTAGGTTCAGATACAACGCTCCTATTACATGGTTCAGAAAATAAACAAATCTGAAAACTGTGATCCAAGTTTAACTTTGCGCAGAATAAAAAAAAAAAAGTTTTATGGAAAGGATTTTATAGACACAAATATTTGCAATAAAAAAAATAAAAGAAAACAGATTTTGTTTGGATGTAAACGTTCCCCTGCTGCCTTGGAAATATTGACACAGCAACACTACACTGAGACATTATGAAAAAGAAAGTATTCTTTACAGTAAAGAAAGAGCAACAACCACCAAAAAAGGTAAAAGTACTTACTGAATTACTTCACATTTACAAAAATGTAAAATACCATAAACATGTTCCTGCTTTTTAAATCTTCACTGCTGTTTAGCTGATTGCCCAGTAAACTGCTAAACTGCAAAGATGCCAACTGGTTTTGATGAGAGTTCCCAGGGGAAGAAAAAAAGTGCTGGACCCTGAAGATTTTATGGATAAAAATGTGTGTCCTTTATTGGACTGGGCTGATGCATGTTGAACTTCATGAAAAGGGAAAAAGACAAACCTGAGTGCCAAACCAAGATGGGAAAAGTAACATCTAGCTTTGTGATTTCTCCAGCTGAGTTTTCTTTGCAGAAAGAACTACCAAAAGTATTCCATAGACATTATCAGTTGTTGTAGCATATGTTAAGGATATAACCTAAATAGAAGTTTGATCACTAAGGCAACATTTCCACCAACATCTAGGCTGTTAGAACTGAGTCACATCCCTCCCCTCAATGGTTGCAACAGCTTCTGGGGCTTTTGGTTTTACCAGAGGAGTGGACAGAAAAACCTGTTGCCAATGCTACTGGCTTCTCAAAAACACACAAGCCTTGCAGGTAGCTGGGGAGTCTCCTGTGTGCACTCCATCCAGCCTGACTTCCTTAATGCGAGACCACCACCGACACAGAGCTACCTATACGGGGGTGAAAGGCTCTCTACATGCAGACAGGCTGGTCAGATGCTGCCTGATCCCATAGTTGGCCCTCAGAACATGTTTGCTGTGCTCACTAGATTCTTATAAAGAAGATTACCAAGTTGGCAAGATGATAGGAGACAGCAGAAGATGGGAAAGCAATGTTTTAAGCTTAAATTGGAAGTCACACTGAATAACTGTCAGGATCTTCTGAGATCAGAACTAATGATTTTGCTCAACTGCAGATGCGACAGGCTACCCCACATGCAAAATATTCTGCTGTCATCTTACCTTTAAAGACACATCATTATGACCAAAAGTAGTAACAGCATTGAGTTTTCAAGATACTTCAAGTATCTCAAACTGAACAGCCGCACACAGGTGGAAGTTAGAAACTTGAGTCTACTTCTGAGTAGAAATTTAGAAATTTGAGAAATTTAGAAATTTGAGTCCACTTTTGCTGAAGCTCAACTCTTTTTAAAAATTTGATAAAGACTTAGGTATTTAAGTCTCAATTCTACATTGCAACACATTTTGCGCTGTCAGTCACATTGCACTGGTTTTAATTTGTTCTTTGCAACAATGTGTATCAATCCAGCACACGAAAAAGAACATCAGTGAAAAAGAATCCTATCCTGATAGAAATCCCTAAAAATAAACTTGTCTGAAATTACTCCCCAAAAGTATATGCTTCTTAATTCTAGTCAACTGAGAGAAAACTATTTTTCCATAGGATGTGGGTTGTCCTCCCAATCAAATCAATTCCCATGCATTTTACAAGTACTCCCTACTGGAAATTTCATGTCTTGGTGAAAAGCTTTGCAGCAGCTTTGTAAAAATCTTCAAATTCTTCATGCTGCCTGCCATATCATGTAAATGACAGGAAGTTTAGCTTCCCATCACTAAAAAATCTACTCAAAAATCAGAAGTGAACAGAAGATTTGGCACCACCCTTTCATAAGCCATCATGCTGACTCAACAAGGATGGGATATCAGGAGCTGTAAAGATAAGATTCACTCGGTGTCAAGGACATAGGCAAACCCGTGCAGTAACTAACTGTTAAAATTTGAACAAACCTATTTAAGTCCAACACTTTTAACGAGAAACTAGTGTACAAGGAAGTTTCATTCAGAAGCTTACAGCACACCAATAAGGGGGAAAGCACATGTGCAACAATAAACCCCAAAGCAAGGATATGCAAGTACCACAGTGAAATTTACTGTGTGGCTCAAAGAGAGTGATGAAGAAGGAGAAAAACAAGGGGAGAAGGGGGAGGTCCCACATGTTGTAAAAAAAGCACTGCCAATAATGTGAAATTCAAGTTTCTTTATGAAATCAGGCAGCAAGTTTAAAGGAGCCACTGACACTGGAGAGCAAGACAAAGCTCTGGCAATTGTCTAGAGCAGACAGCAGACAGGGTGGTCCAACCCAGCACCAGCAGCAACCAGGAAACTGGGAGGTGACAGAGTGCCAGGAAGAGCACCAGACTGTATGAAGGCTGGATAGAGTAACAAAAAACCCAAAAAATTCTTGGCAGAAGGACTCATTAAAGAACATTAGGAAGTGTTTCAGACTCCAGCTGTGTATGCTGCTCCCAAATAGGACACAAAAACCAAAACTGTTGCTACTTTGCTGCTCTGAGTCAGTAGGTTAAGACCCATACTTGAACAATTCATGAGGGAGACGGAAGAGACCAGTATTTGCTCATCCTTCCTCATTCCCTCCCTCTCCCACATCTCTCCCCAAATCCTGCCACTGTAACAGCACTTCCTCAGGAGGAGATACCTGCAGTGATGGAGCAGGCATGTAGTTCATGTAGCAATGATGGTAACAAACACAGCATAGACTAGTGAGTAACCAAGTTCTGATTTCTTAAGACAACAGGACAAAGGAAAAATTACATGAATGATCTGATGATTGAGCTTAAGCCTCTTCTCAAAAATGAAAAGGAATTTTGAAACTTGTAATTCCATCTGTAAAAGTGCTCTATATTCTACCGTATTGAATGCAGGAATCTCAGCATTCACTTGATCATTTTGAGTTCGGGGGCCATTAAATACTGGTATTTTAGCACAGCAGTTATTTCATTTTTAGACAGATCAAGGCCTGATACCTATCACTGTCTAAACAAGTGGCAGATGAATAAGCTACAACAACTACAGTTACATTATGAATTCTTTATGCAAAATATTGGAAGCAAATTTCAAAGGCTGTTTTCTCTTCATAGTTAAAATTTGATTGTGCTTTACTAACTGAAAACCAAAAATTTTGTAAAAAGGTCGGGTGATAGAAAAAAGTGATTACAAAAGGGAAGTGGCAATATAAGAACAAAGGAAGAAAAACCACTAAGATTAAGAACAGCATTTGAATATAAAAATTTATTTAGGTGAAGTCACAAACAGTTTGATATCAATTTACAAACACTCCATGTTACGCATATTATTGGAACTATCGAGAAACGTAAAGGAGAGGAGATAATGGCAACTTTTTCCTGAAACAACTAAAGGCAAACCCTTACCATCATGTGTGTTACTGGATCATAGTATTACCTTGATCATAACCCCTAGTATGCAAGGAAAAAGGAAAAGAAAACAAAACACTGAGATGCAGAACGATTAAACCATGAACCAGCGAACATAATTTTCATGAACACCAGGCTACAAAAGTGTAGTCTGATGCTCAGGATCTTAAGTATTCTAACAAGAATAAAAACAAAATTATAATTTAGGTCAATTACTATAGTTGAAGAATTTTGTAATGCACAGTTGGGCTATCTGGCAATGACAGCAATGGTTAACGCATTTTTTAAAGAACAATGGAGAGGTGATACTGAGCCTCACAGAATAATTCTGTTGACAACCTGAGTTATTATAGCAAGTGTATGATACTGTTTTGAGTCAAATACACATTTATGTTGCAAATATTCTCAATGAAATGGCAAAAGTAACAGCTGTAACAAGACAAGTTATGATTTATTTTTTTTTAAACAAATATAATACATAAGGTTTTGAAGTGTCCGGTTGTGATCTGCAAAGATCCAGGATTGCACACAGTTTGGTCAAATGAGAAGGTTTAATCTGCACATTAAATTGGCTTTTACTTTCAAAGTAGTATTTTAGAGCAGGGTTCTCCTCCGGGAGACTGTTCCTGACCTCATTCAACCAATGTTCAATTTATTCACCTTCCTGAATCTTTGCCCTCTTTGGATAGTCTGTGACAAGTGCTGCGCTGCAGGAATTCCTGTTTTCCAGCAAACTGGCTTGCTCTGCAGGTTTGTAGTCCATTGTTACAATTGCTGATTGGGTAAAATGAATTTCCTACGTCTTCTCTAGCACAGCTTGCAACGCAACAGAAGCAGAGGTAAAAGAATGCACTAGAATACCAGAGCTCCACTTAAACACCAACGGAGTCAGGCTGTTGGCACCAATAAAAAATTCTGTATTTAACAAATCTGCAAATATTTAAGATCCAAAGTTAGTCAGTTTTATAAATAAACTCACCCAATTAGTCTGACTGCCATCCCAACTGGCCTTCTGTTTTCATGGAGTCTGGGGAAAAAAAGAGAATTGTCTGAAGTTATATATACAAATTTGCAGGAATGAATATCAGCTATCCTACATACATGCCAATTACCACATTCAAACTAAAACTAGGGTTTCTCACTTTGTTCTTTCCACGTAAAGCAAAGACACAGCTCTTCACCAGTGCCTTAGAAAGGACAGATAGCTTCAGAAGACAGACACTTTGTTTACATTGACTTTTACTGTTTAACCATCTGTGGAAATGCAAAACCAGAGATACAGTCACTAAACTAAATGACACTGAAATTCCAGCCTTTGACTTAAGAGGGGAAATGAAATTCAGTCATGCTGCCTAATGCTATCTGTTGAAATTACAGAACCAAAATCAGTTCAAACCAACAATCTGGAAAAGGTTTTTGTAGAACACCTCCTCTTCCTCTTGACAGCATGAATGTGGAAAAGCTTAGGTTTTGCCCAAAGTTGTAAGCCCATAAAAGGCTATTCTCTCCTATTTTAATTCTCCAATTCTTTTGCCCAAGTGTGATGTCACATCTTACTTTACTGAAGTAGTTTTACACAACACAGTTAGAGCTTGCAAGGCACTGGGGAGGTGTGGGGGAAACATGGAAGTCACCTCCAAGAAAACATTTCCTTGCTGCTGCCTTGCCAATGATAAACTCATGCTTTATCCTAGGCCTCATTTACATTTAACAGCTGCTCAAACCCTTAGTTCAGTTAAGGACATTTTTAAGCAGTTATAAGACACTGTGTGCTACCAATTAAAAACTGCTCTAATAATAGAAAAGTGGTTGTAACCACACTGAACAACTGCAAAACTTTTACTTTCTTATTGTGCTGCTAAAGCACTACTCTTTCTACAAAGATTAAACTTCCAGTATTTTGTAAGTTAGTTAAACATTTTTCCTTTACACGCTTTCTGGGGGGAAAAGAAATACGTATCAATGCCACTGCTAATAATCAGCTGGGAAGTTTCCATGAAATCAAAAGGGATTGAGACCTCTGGTGCCTCAACAGATCAAAGGTCTGCACTGACAGACCAGCTGCTGCAGAAGAAGTTACAAGAGCGGGTAACATGACAAGCTGAAGGTCCAGTCTCAGATGAGATGAAAGTTATAAGCCATTGCCCATCTGGTGCTCAACTGAGATCTGTAGGAGAACAAGAACTGAGCTGTTGTTCTTGAGAATGGAGAAATATAAACAAGATATCAGAAAAAGTTGCAGGAACATAGAGCATCAACCACAGAAGGCCCAAGGCCAACAGGCCTGGGTTTATCTATATTACTGTGTGGTGTTTACTCCCTTTCTTTGTCAGCAGTTGGCCTAGTGAAGTCACTTTTAATAGGTATTAAAGTCAGGACTTGGTGTGACACACCAAACACATCCAGATGCCTTGAAAAAGGATCCTCCCTTCCCAGATCAGGCTAACAGAGTCAAACAACTTAGCCACTCTGTGCTGGCAATCCCCAGGAAGCAGAGCATCTGATAAACTAGCAAAAAGTCTACAGGAATGCAAAGGTTCTTCCTACAGACCTAAAAAATCTGATTAGAAATAAATATAGCCAGTATCACAGAATCTCTACACCACCATTCAGCTAGCATGAAACTAAATGTTCAGCATTCAGCATTTTCTGTGCTGGGAATTTGGCAGACTACAGCCACCAGAGTAAGAGAAGCAGCACAACCCCTAATATAGGCAGGAAGCTCTTTGTAGCTGTGGAGCTCAGCGTCATGCCTGAGGCGGCAGAAGACCTGCCTGTGTGCACCAGGGGTTAGAGCAACTCAGTGACGCCTCTGTTGAAAGCAAAAAAAAGTACATAAAATCCTCCCTTACTTTCCCTAATCACACTCAACATCTTTTCCCACAAAACAGGTGATATAACTTGTATATTAAATCTCCTGAGTCCCAAACTAGGCTTGATCTTCAAATTACAGTGCATTTGCAAGCTGTGGTCATTCATACTGAATTTTATCTTTATTCACATCAATTTTGGTGCCCTCCCACACAGCCTGCAACTACCCACATGCTCCCATAGTAACAGGAGAGTCTGTACACTTTGTCTTACATACAAATAACTGTATCGATGAGAAAGTTATTTTTTTAAAGACAACTCAGAGGAAAAAAATAAAACCACATCTTTTTTCTAATGTCTTCAGGAAGATGAAGTTATGTATCGGGGGAGGGAACTAGCATAGTTCCTGTTTTCTGGTGGCCAGGGCAATAAAGGCTACAGTTATTTACTCAGCGTCCATCAACGACCACATCTCTAACGGTGGCCAGCCGGGCACCCGTGATACCACGTCCCTATGGTCAGCACGAGCAAAGGGTCAGCGCCGTGAGACTGGAGCCGCCGACCAATGTATGGGCACCCCAACTGCTCCTTCCTCCTCTTCCCCTCCGACAGGGCACCATACCCAGCCAGCGGAGCGGGAAAACACGCGGCCATCGGCTCATCACACCTGGCTTTTCTCCTCCTGCTTGGGGCTCTGCGCTGGCGGGGCCGGCGGCGCCGGCGAGGGCTGCGTCTCGACCTCAGCCCGCGAGTGCCTGGGGACAAGCGACTTGAGCGGCGCCATCCACTTCATCCACAGGTCCAGGTCGACGTCACCCCAGGGCAGAGAGGGGTTCTTCGCCGCCCGCCGCCTAAAGTCCTCGTCGTAGTTCATCCAGGAGGTGCCCCCGTAGGTGGCGTGCAGCTTGCGGATGGTGTCCAGGTACTTGAACATGGCTCCGCAGCGCGCCGGGTGCTTCTCGCACAGCACGCTGGCGTACACCAGGAAGGCTGAGACCCACTGGTCCAGCGTGTCCCCCGGGCGCGGGCCGTGCTCGGGGGCCAGCTCTGTGTGGAGCAAGGAAAAGAGGTCAATGAACTCCCCCCGCCAGATCCGCTCCTTGGTGGCCTTGGCCAGCTTGTAGCCCAGCGGCCGCCGCAGCCCCACGTAGGGGGTGGCCGGCGCCTCCGCCGCCGCCGCCGCCTCGCCCTGCCCCGCCGCCGCCT